ACTGTTAGATATAAATAGGGTCTGACTAATAAACCTTCGCACGCACGCTGTTCCTCGTGCAATTGTTACTACATGTACTAGTACTGTCGAGCGCAAACTTGCTACTTGCGCAACTTTGAAATTTGCGCGCGCAAGTTTCAAACTTGCGCAAGTAGCAAGTTTGCGCTCGACAGTACTAGTAGTAACGATTGCACGAGGAACAGCGTGCGCGCGAAGGTTTATTAGTCAGACCCTATTTATATCTAACAGTACGTCTAGATTCCAGACTAGCTGCTACAACTCCCCAGTTCATTAGGAATTTTACTGAAAGGTATGCGACAAGGTATGCAATAAAATTCACGACATTGCAAACAAATTCGCATACGTGTGCGCACATATTCGCGAATTGTTTCGCGACATCGCATACGTGTGCGCACATATTCGCGATAAATTTCGCGACATCGCATACGTATGCGCACACGTTTGCGATATGCGATGTCCCTTCAGGGCCACCATACTATATAGTCCATCATTTGCAGCCATCCGAAAAATAACTGGCGTAATTATTGTTGAAAAACAAACTTGATTGAAAGATAGTAAGGGGACTAAACTCCCTGTGAAATTATTCTTTCTGGCAAACTGTCATTTTGAAGTAATAAACGAAAGAAGGCCTTTCCAACGGTGCATCTTAAAGGTCCTGAAATCCCCGAAAATGTTATGTTTTGGATTGTTTACTTAGCCTATTTCAAACATCTGGTTGAAAGGAAACCAACCTTATGTCTTACCGTTCCCGAGAAAACACGAAAAAAACCCGCTTGTTTACATCGGACATGACGCGGCAGTGGCGTAGCCAGGAATTTTTCGGGGGGGGGGGGGGGGGGGTTGGAACATTTCATGGGGGGGGGGGCATCATGTAGATCAATGATAATTGTTTTTAGAAACTCAAAACCTCAGTGGGGGGTGGCTGGGGGCGACAAGGTTTCATGGGGTTTAATTAACTGCTAATTGCTTATTAATTTTATTTTTAGTGAATTGATAATTAATATTCATTGCTTTCATTTCGAAAACTTGAAATTCAACGACGATTTTGTGCATCAAATATACTCGGATCGAATGGCCGAACTTTTTGCTGCGTCATGTACAATTTTGAATTTGACGACCGTTACCGAGATTTTCCAAAACTCGGTCTTCATTCGGCTCCGCCTGCTAACAGTTAGTTTAGTTTAGTAGAAACATTTATTTCAATGTTGCCATTTCCACACAATAAAATGTTACAATGCCGTGCTATTCGGGTGCCTAATTCTGAAGATTCCAGATCAACATTAGTCACTGTTATCTTACAGAAACATCAAACTGTATTATCATTACTGTATGATATTACGAAGCAAGTGATTTTTTTTTAAATTTTGATCAGAACTTTAAAAGCTACAAGCGATAAAGCGAAATCGGAAACGAAGCCGAGCTTTGAAAAATGGCCATCAATGTCTTCATGTTTATTTTTACCCACGGAGGCTGCCTGAACTAAAGATTCATCAGGAATAGTCAGAATCTTTTGGTCTGGGAACCAGGCTAGCACCGGTATGGAATACAAACGCAGATATGCAAATAGCCGTACAAAAGCCGTACAAAATTTCTAGGTCTCCATAGGTTTGTGTACAAACATGGATGTACCCAGCATGCATCACTTTGTACACGAGTCAGCGCTCTAGTGCTCTGTGATATGAACAGTACAAAAATTAGTCCTTCAAGATTGTCAACAAAAAAAGAGTTTTGATGGAATATTGGCCAATAATATTGTCCAAACAAGCTGTTTAACATAATAAACAAGTAAAAAGTGAAACTTAATCCAAGAAAATAGAGAAAATGTTGACATATCTGTACAAAGCTATGGAGACACTACTGTTCTGCCTTGAATGACATCACGCTTTGGCTCATGAACATGGAAATTTTCATTAGCATCAAAACTAAACTGTTGAAATATCTCCCTTTTACTGCTACAAAGGAGGTGGAAAGTCATAGTCACATTGCAAGAAAGCTGTTTTAAATGTCTTTAAGTCATAAAAATCCTATTGCATATTTCCTTTAACTTATCAAATCCATGAAGAAAAAAGAAGAAGAAATAAACAGAGACAGTACCTTCGGTCGCCTTCACTCATCAGGTAATAATCATTAAAGCATTGGGGTTCAGGGGAGGGGCAGAGATAGTGTTCAAGGCCTACCGCTTATAAGCACTGAATCTTTAGTTTTGGGATGCCCGTGATTGTGGGGGGGGGGCAACAAGATACCCTCCCAGCTTGAAGGTAGCCATGATTTTATTTCTGTCACCCCGCCGCCGCAAAATCCAGTGGGGCGCTGTTCAAAGCGCTCGATCTTTGACACAATCGGCCAACAGGTGGCACTGTTCATGTCGGCATTTTCGCTGACGAACCGACACACGATATCGTAGTCCGAGTATCACCCGTTGTCCAACATAGCCGTAACCAACGTCTGATTATGTGAGCAATGCACATTTTAGGCGACCCCGTGTGCCAGCCAATCGGAGTCGACTTATTAAAGGGAATATACATCATTTGCTTTTGCTGTAATTTTCAGAAATGGATGGAATTGGGGGGGGGGGTGGAAATATATAGCAAATATAGTTACACTGATTTTTTTGGGTTCGAAAATGCTATAAATACCAAGAAAAACAATCATTTTCCTGTAGTCTTGTTCCCTGACTCCATATAAGAAGAAACAGAGCAGTTTACATACATTGGGGAATTGTAAGGTCAGGGAACCAGTCTAGCTGGCTCGTACCTGTTCATAGGTTTATAATCGATTGCAAACAAGTGCGATGGTCAAATGGGGCCAGTATTTGAAAAAAAAAAAACAGTTTTTTCCAACGCTCATCGGCCGATCAGCTTTGGAAATTGATACAAAAATACCACTTTTCTTGAAAATGACAGTATACCAGGTGCCATGATTTTACAGGATGCTTTACACTGTCATTCACTAACAGTCCAGCAAGGTATTTCAAAATGATTTGGTAGTTTTATTTTTTGATGTTTGTAAATGTTGTATTTTCCCTTTAATGTGACGTCGTTTCGATCGGAAATTTGGACTATGTTGTTGATTGGTCAATTTGGCTGCCATGTTTTTGTAATACAATAACGGGTTACGGAAGACCGGAAGACCCGGTAGAAAGAAGGCGCCCGCTGAGCGGTCAGAATCTCGAGGTCAAGGAGCAGTCTTGTTTTGCATAATTACCGCTGAGTGCAGGGACGTAGCCCGGTCATTTTTATTTGGGGGGTAATTTTTTTTGAAAAGGGCACTTACACATCCGTTGTGAAATGTAGACAGGTTTTTTTTTTGTCGGGACACTTGGCCTCCGTAAAATCAAAAAGCGGGGGAGGGGAGGGGGAGGGGGGCTAGTACCACCTGTCAATGGGGGCGCTGTTCAAAACGGACAATAATGCACACAAAAGGCCAATATATGGGTGCTTTTCAGGGCGATGCACGTGCGCAATTCTGAAAATGGCACCAAAAACTACAGATGCCACAAAAAAGGGCACCACTTTTTTTAAAAGGGCACTTGTTCAGAAAAAAAGGGTATTTGGTAAAAAAAAGGCACTCCTTACAAATTATTGGGGGGGGGGTAAGCCCGTTGAAAATAGGGCATTTGAATGGAAAAAGGCACTCTTTACAAAATATTGGGAGGGGGCCCGGGGTAAATACCCCCTTAAACCCCCCCCCCCCCCCACCCACCCGCTGGCTACGCCTATGGAATGGTTTCGCATATCATAACCCTTGCTATGCAAAGGTACATTCCATAGACTCACGATATTACCAACAGAACGATCGGTTTTTCCGACGACAAAAGGGCATTGCCCGTCAATTCATAAGATCGCATCCGCCAGCCTTCAGCGCGGGATATCGGTAAAATAAACGGAGATACACTGCAGGCAGAACCATGACATCGGACCAAGGTTACATTTACAATGAAGTGAAATTCACAACCACAATAAAGTGTTGCCAACACGGTCCATTATAACGATAAAGGCTATCAGAAAGTATGCCACACTGTCTCCAAACACAACTTGAAACATTCCGGGACTCCACGTCTCTGGTTTTATTTCAATCGAGATCAAGCAACCCTTCCAATTAAACAGCAGCCCGCCCTCTGTTGTCTGTCTGGTCAATACGGACCTTGATCAGGCCCGGTGTGACAGGTAATTTTGTCCCCCTGGTAAATGTGTCCCCCGGACACATTTACCATCTCGTGACCCAGTAAATGTGTCTGGGGGACACTTTTACCTAGGGAGATTTGTCCCCCTCCAGGTAAAAATGTCCCCTTGCCCAACAGTGAAAGTGTCCCCCTGGTAAATGTGCCCCCATGCAGTATGTACTATACTGAGAGCAGCAGCGTGTCGCGCGCGCCAGTACATGCTCCAAGACATGTGGCAGTGATTATCACATGTGTACATATGCGTCTCCCTCTACAATGGAAATTCATCCAATAGGAAATTTCGTTACGCGCTATAATGGGAACACAGACCAATCCAAGTAGGCCTTGTATCAATGAGAGGAGGGCCATCGCCATGCATCGCCGCTGTATTGACCTATCACGGTAGAATCGCGATGGATTTCACCGTACTCCAAATCGAAACATTGTGTTCACACATGGAGGAATCATGTAATAGACCAAATTAAATATTTTGACATTCATTAAGGGCAGACTAAAAGTCCAAAATGTATACCTTGTAGAGTGAATTCATAAAAACAAAGAGAACTGGCCTTCTGGGTTTCAAAAGAGGGGGACAAAAAAAAATGGGGGACAGAATTACCTGTAGGGGGACAGAATTAACGGGTCGGGGAGGACACTTTTACCTAGGTAATTCTGTCCCCCGGACAGTTTTACCGGGGGACAGAATTACCTTCCACACCGGCACTTCATGCATGACAGCAAGTTACTATAAGAGGCTCAATGGCATTTGACAGGAATACTGTACAATTCAGCGCATCAATGAGTGCGAAATAAAGAGACTTGTGATGAAAATCGAATGAATACTGACAGAATTTCGGCAGTGTTACAATACCGCGTCCTTACAGAACTTTGCATAGTGGGAGTATTATAATGACCCATGACAGTGATGTACGTGGACTCTCCCACCAGACACTGTGTTTAATTGAGTGCACTGCCGTGGACTGCTTTTCGTGAGGCAAAGACAATATTTGCTGATGCTTTATAAGACCGCAGGGCAAAAGCCAGATAACTTTGAAGCAGTCTGATGTCTGGTGATGCAGTGTAACATGGCAAGCGTTTCAGTCACGGAGTTGGGCAGACTTGTCAGGGTCTTGCTACCGCGAGTGCAGTACTTCCAGCCCCGCAGGAGAGGCCTTCGGACCCGCTGCAGGCTTCTGGTGTTACCGTCGCTGGCTGCCTTCGGGTTCGTGCAAGTTGCGTGGATGTTCCTCGCCTTTCAAGACGGTGTGGTGACAGTCAACGGACCGGAGAGGGCTCGCCGGTTATTCGACGGCGGTATTAAGCTAGATTTCTATGCCCCTGCACGCCAAGTATCCACCAAATCAAACACATCGAGCCCTTACGATCACAGAAAATGCAACCTAAGCACTTGCAGTTTTGACAATCCATCGAGTCACACTGAGAAACTACGCGAGAAAATGAATGCAACTGACCCGAAAACGAACCCAACAGCTTCAAGCAGGGAAGAAATCCGAAGGGAAGAAAATATTGGTAACATATTGACTCTAAGGACCCCTTGGTGTTCGGGTCGCGGCACAGTAAGGTCACAACCAGTTACGAGTAAAAAGCAAAACACGACTGATCACAAGTACTTCTTGACAGCTGTCTTACTCGTAAGGATCTACGCTAGCGATCCGGCTAAGTTGACAACGCGGGAGATGATGCAATGGCTGCAGTACCTAAACTACGCTGGGGTCCAGCATGTGTACGTCTACGATGCGTACTTCTACAAGAAAGAATCGCAAAGAAAAAAACTAGGGTGCTTCATAAAGAACGGATACGTGACCTACGTGGACTGGAGTCATAAGGCAAGGCCTAAATACACCATAGCCGGTACACAGGTAGCTGCATACCAGAAATGTCTCGATAAGTACGGGCATGAGTTTGCTTGGCAGGTGGCCATCGATATCGATGAGTACCCGTACTGTCCCGGGGACCATGAAGCGGGATTCCTGGACCGTGCCGTCCGTAAGATAGCCAAGACGAAACCTAACGTCGTTGAGATTTCAATGCTGAACTACCTGTATCTGGGGAAACCTCTGAACGACAGCGTGCATCCGTTACTCATTGACCGGCTCTGGAGGCGGACTATCCAGCGAGCCAACGCCCTGGTCAAGCCCATCTACCAACCGAAAGGGATCGCTGCAGCCAACGTGCACCACAACTCACTACGCCGTGGCTACGTCAACTTCACACCGAAGGCGAAATGGCTCCGAATGAGTCACTTCTGGGGGGACGGTTGCAAAATTGGGGGGAGGACACTCCCAAAATCTTGAACATGACTATGGAGGACAGAGGTATGGAGAGGGCCGTCTCGGCTCTCAAGGAGTGCCTCGAGGGGTGTGAGATGGGGTGTTGCTAAACTAGGCGAAGAAGTAACTGGCATCGTTCTAGTGTTAATAAATAATGTGGTAAGTGTTAGCGTATCGTGTAGGATTTGAATTCAGTACTAAAGAATAGAGAGCTTGCACACAGCGACACCAGTGTGGACAGGTGTTATTGCCTCTGTGTTGCACATGAGCAGTCAATTGACATATCAAAATATGTCCGTTGTGAGGGCGCTCCATGCAATCTCTCGATTTACCAAACAACATTTTAAACCAAATGACGGTTTAAGCGGTGACACATCGCAAAGTATTGATATCTTAATTATTTATTTTTTCAAGAGATCGGTGAACAACACTTCTATACATACACACGAGATGTTGTTGTTCACATTGGCTATTCATGGAAGGAAATGCCTAGAAAATGGCTTCTTAAAGATGTGGTTAGAGATTAATTTTGTACCGAAATTGATTGGGAAAACGGACGGTTCATCTTTAAGCAAATTCAACAGAGAAGCAGTTGCGATCAATATGTAACGCGTAGTATATCGCGTTACACCTTTCCAAACAATATTGTGTGCTATTGGCACACTTCTTGCTATAGGCACACTTGATACTCAAGTCAAAGGGATGGAGCAAAAGCTTTAATTATGGTAAATACATGTATGCCTCTTTAACAATTTTTAAACTTTCTACATGACTTTAATACCAACTAACTGGCCCAACTATCATGGGTCTCGTGGTATCACGGGATCGGGTACCCGTAACCAATTTTACGAATTACTCAGTGTCTTCTCAAGTCCGATGAACAAGAAAAGTTTTGAATGCCATTCGTGCTGATTTTTCAAAATGAAAACCAGGCAACATGGAAAACTGCAACAGATTTTAAGTTCATGTGTTTGAACGACAGGTAGAGTTTGCGAAAGCATGCAGTAAGCCCTAATTCGGATAACTTCAGGGATTTGAATGTTGGCTTTTGTATGGGAGCCTGGCACACCCGTGGGTATCAGGTTCCCGCACTACCTGTAAATGCACACCATAGAGCCCTATAGCAAGGAACATATGGGTCAAATATCAAGGACGGATCCGGGGGGCAAAGGGGGCCATGCCCCCCCCCCCCTCCCCCCGAAAAAAAAGAAACCAATTTTTTTTTTTTGTGACGTCGCAATAAAGGCAGGAAATGAGTACACCACTATCTTTTCTCTAAAAACATTGGTTAAAGTGGTCAGAAATTGCCTCAGATCGCGCCACACAGCATTCCAAAAAAAAATCGGGGCCCTTAAGCGGGCCCCAAACCCCACGCCGTAATTTTTTCGACCCACTTTTTGGGGGACCAAAATTGTTTTTGCCCCTCCCCCCCCCCCAAAAAAAAGAAAATTGTGTTCTGGTTCCGTCCTTATCAAATATACGTCGCATCGGCATAATAACGTGAAAAGGTTTTCTGTTTTGTTCATCAAACTTGTTTTTATGTTCAACACTTTCCAAGTACCAGTACTTCCGTTATATTCTTTGTACAAGACATCATATGGGAAGGTCGTATGCACGCAGTTTTATTTTTGTAAGCACTTTCACTTGTGGACCCCATATTGTCCATCTATTGTTTATCCTAAAACGTTTTAGAAGACCTCCCATATGTTTTGTGCACACACACCTCAAAAGTGGACCATATCGGTCAATCGTCGACCCTATTATGTCCGCTATCATTCAAGGTCCACGATTTCAATACAAATGTTGTACACGCCCAAATCTTGTTTCCGTCTGCAACGGCCCTGGTTCGGCTGCTGGTGTGGACACCAGTTCTAACGGAAACTATAATATAATTTGGCCTTCATTTTAGCACCAACTGTTCACTTGTCATTGTACCCTCGCTGGGACGCAATAAGCCGTGATGCGCGGGGTTCTCCGCACTCTCAGCACGCGCACCCATACTACCCGTACAACTTGCCAAATGAATTTATACGTCTAAAAAAATCCCTGGAGGATGAGGTCACTAGGTCACTAGGCCTATAACCTTTTATTTATTGATATATTCTTTATCATGAAAAAAGGACAATGTGGAGTAGCAACAGGTGGTTAAGGTACAAAGGTTGAGCAAACTGTGTATGCACTGACTATGATAACATTTGAATTGATCAAAATTTCCTTCCACTCCATGGCATACTTTTAACAAACTAATGGGATCTTGACCAATATTGACCCAAGTAAAAGCATGGCTCAGAATGCATGTTTTCATAGGAGGGTTAAAGATGTGCGGTCCGTAATTCCAAGATTTACTCTCTGTACTGTTCAACAGTTTCGATCGCAATTTCCAATTTGTATGGTTTTTTTTTATAATCTAAAATCTGTGTTGTTTTTTTCTTTGGTTTTTGCAACCTTCAGGGGGAAACGACATTTCTGGGTTGCTTTTACTAGTTTTAGGCAAAAACGGATCATCATGTGAGTAGACAATGGTTTTCGGTCCCTATACATTATCGATTCTGGTGGAGCGGGAACCATCGATCTACCCAAGTGCGAGAACCGAATTGTTTTTGGACAGAGAAATAGTTCAAAATTTATAATAATAATAATAACAACAATAATTTATCAGGTTTTGCACTTCATCTACGTATAAACACTGTATAATCAGCTAGTGTGGTTCGAGTCCCACCCGAGTGATTTTTTTTTTTCAACTTTCACACGGGAGGTAACACACTGAGTATACAGTGTTTAAAACGTCGTTGAAGAGCAACACCTGATATTAATATACATCACTCCGACGAAAATTCATCTTTTGAAGAATAATAATAATAATGGCGTCTTGTTTAGCGCTCATGTTCGTCACGAAGTGACGCTCCTGACGCTCTATTATTACCCTGGCTTTATAGCACGGCTGCCATTACGGCGCTCCAGCATTGAAGGAACTTCTTCCTACCAGGTACCCATTAATTTACTACACCTGGGTGGAGAGAGGCAATCGTAGTAAAGTGCCTTGCCCAAGCACACAAGCACCATGAAATGATGACATGTCCAGTGCAATGACTGCATGATCCTATTATTCACTTATTACTATCAAGCAGGAAATTTCATGAGTGAACGTTGGCAAGTGGTGTCCATGGGCCCTAAGCACGAGTTGGCCATTTTTGTCGAGTTCCCTGACTATTTCAGTAGTTGTTAACTTTCGAATGGATGGCGGAAAACTATTTATGCAGGCATAATGCAGCCATATTTTACTGTCCTTTTTTTAATCTGGCTTGAACCATTAGGAATGTACATTTGGAATGTTTAATTATACAAGTTATTCATTTTAGCAGACTAGAATAATTTCTGGGGAGGAGACACTGAAGGCAAATGATTTATATATTTTTTGGTCAATTCCGGGGTTTAAATGGGTAGGGGGCACCACACAGACATTAGTGGGGGGGGGGGGGGGGGGGGGCACGTGCCCCTTGACGCTCCCCCACCCCAACAGTAACGCCACTTCCTTTAAGCTGCAATCTTTGAGGTGTTTCTGCTATTGGACCTATCGCGGTAGAATCGCGTCAACGCAGCTTGTGAAATATTGTCCAATTACATGATATACAAATGAACGCGGAACGCGCAAAATCTGAGACAAACAAAACTGAGTGTATAAAAAACTCCATAGGGTTGTCTAAGGGGCGTGGCTAACTCGCAAACGGCGATAGGTCAATTGTAATGTATAAAATAAAAGCACGCAAATCAAATATTGCTGCATTGCACCAAATTGTATTCGTGTAAATTTAGACTATAAATACTGGTGTATGGGTTCGTGGAATTTTAAATCACTGTTTAAATATTCAACATTCAAATGATTAAATTTTAATGGATGTATTGGCATATTCAAGTACTGTAACTGCAATGAATAAAAGTCTATTTGCTAATAAATTATTATTTATATGGACTTAATTCTTTCCAATTGAAGAAGCCGTTTTATGGCCTTTTGAACTTTGATAATTTGTCATCCCATGAAATCAATTTAAATAATTGGTTTGCAAATGTAATGGGCTTTCGATAATTTAACCATTGCATACACGACAACAAATTGTGTCACTCACTGGGTGCAGGACAAATATATTATACACGAGGGGTGATATATAAGTACGTGGCCTTAGGTACAGAAGGAGGCTATACAGTTTTGACTGACAAAGTGTGCAGATAAACTTGTTGAACTTGTCCATCACCCCTCAGGGTGAGTCAAAAAAATGCAAAACCCAAATGTTGGGATTATTGTTTTAGTGTAGTTTTACATGTAACACTTTCAAAATCTAGGATATAAAAGCCCAATTCATGAGCTTTCTTTTAGTATAAGAATTATTCAAATCACTTATGTACTTTTCAAGTTACGGAATTTTAAACACAACCACCGTTTCAAAGTTCTGTCCACGGATCACAAAAACGTCTGCGTTCTTTTAGCAAACGAAAACATTATTCACACACATCCATATGTGATTAGTTTTCGTTTTGCTGAAAGAACACTTACCCTTTTGTGATCCGTGGACAGAACTTTAAAACGCTGGTTGTGTTTGAAATTCCGTAACTTGGAAAGTAGATGAGTGATTCCAATGATTTTTATACTAAAAGAAAGCTTATGAATTGGGCTTTAATATCCTAGATTTTGAAAGTGCTACATGCAGAACTTCACTAAAACAATAGTCCTGAAATTTGGGTTTCTTTTTTACTCACCCTGTATAGAAATGTATTATAAACATGACATCGCTTCGTGTACCGCTTTTCCAATGGTAGGCTCATAACTCACCGCGTTTGTTTTTGTTATGGGACAATTTGCTTAGAGCTGGTCCCACACTCTAAAAATTCCCGGGTCAGATTTGACCCGGAAAAGAATCATGTAGGGCCTGACCCTTTTCCGGGTCAAAAATGACCCCTTTTGGGTCAAAAATGACACTTTTTCGGGTCAAAATGAACCGGAAAATGAGTCACACAGTGTAATTTTGACCCAGTAAAGTGCCATTTTTGACCTGGAAAAGGGTCAGGCCCCAGATGACCCTTTTCCGGGGTCAAGTCTGACCCGGGACTGTTTAGAGTGATAGATATTAGAATGGTAATTACAAACGTGCATGGTAACAGGGACAGACAAAAAGTTACACACTGGACCCTACGTTTATGGAATGACCGAATTGTATTAATGCTGCTTAATTCCGCTGTGATGCAGTTCAAATTGTTTGATCAGACATGAACCTTGTATCTGATATAGCACTCTATCCACGATAATTATGAATTGTTTAAATACTGTAAACACGGAGAAATATCTACGTGTGGGAGTATTATTTATTACTCTGTAACAATACTAGTGAATAATTCTTCACTCGACAAGATGGCAAATTTACATCAATTTTATACGGTGTGCATAAATTCTGATTAGCAGTTTGTCTTGCATGAAAGCCTACATAATGGTCGGCAATGTGTCACACGCATTTGAATTGACATAATGATGCACATATCATCAGCGTTGTAGGACATGTTTCCATACTCATGACTCATTCCTAGTTTCAGTTCTGTAATGTAGTTGTGCCTCGTATGTAAATCCTGTGTTTCCTACGGAGATGTCATCCTTTCAGGAAACGTTCCAATCTCCGCTGAAACCATTACTGTAATTGTCATCACAATATACCAATCTGCCATCTGCAATTTCCGTTAAAATTTTCTGTCCTCAAGCCACTAAAATATTGCATTTTACCAATATATTCGTATCCACTTTATCATCTTTGAGATCTGCAATTTCCTTTAAAATTGTTTGTCCATAAGCCACTAAAATATTGCATTTTACCAATATATTCGTACCCACTTGATCATCTTTGAGAAATGTCTGTCATAATTATGATAATCAGTCGTACCTTGGCAGTGGTGCATGAAAGTCACTGCCAAACTCATTAATGTGGGGGGGAAAAAAAACCAAAAAAAACGAAACATTTTTTTTTATGTGACATCGCAATAAAGGCAGCCAATGAGTACACCACCATCTTTCCCTCAAAAAAAACATTGGTTAAAGTGGTCAGAAATTGCCTCAGATCGCACCACAGAGCATCTAGAATCCAAAAAATTTTCGGGGCCCTTAAGCGGG